TCACATGGGCTACACGTGCAGAATACATTGGTTGGGCTGAATCAGATCTTGGCCCATAATGGGTGCGTTGGGCTCGAGTTGCCTTAGACTCCTTACTTTCAGCCAGCATTTGATTTCTCTCATCAATACACACGGCCACCTCTATCAGGTCTCTCAATGTAGTAGTTTTGGTGAGTTTCAGCTCAGCCTTAATTTCATCTTTTAGACTAGAATGAAAAGCTCCAATTAAGCATTCTTCTAAAGCTTCCCTTAATGGCGTTGACAATAACTCAAATTCTTCTACAAACTCAAGCACAGATTTCTCTTATTTAGCTGTGAATAACCTCTCGTACTCACCTCCTGGTTGGGAGGAATGAAATCATCACAATAGCTCTCTTTTAAACTCGGGCCAGTTGCTCAGTGGAGTCCTTGTATCGAGCCATTGGTACCGGTTTAAAGCTTTACCTTCAAGACATACCACAGCTGCCTCCAGTTTTTCCTGTTCTATTACAGAATTCACGTGAAAATAGCGTTTGACTCTGAAAAACCATCTAATGGGGTCCTCGCCTGAGAAAATAGGTAGCTTTAATTTTTAATACTTGCCACCTTTAATATCTCCCCCTGGGTTCATCGCAGAAGCCTCCTCATGATGATTTCCTTCTTGTTCTTCCACACGTGGCCCTGGTATCCTCTTTTCTATCTACCCCAGTGTTTCGGTAATTGCCTTCAATGTATCTTTGATGTCACCTACATCCTTAGTTAATACCCGAACTGTCTCCTTCAACTCCTGTACTTCTTGGTCAGCATATTGTACTCTCTCGGCTATAACTTCTCTCTCAATTTACCCAGAAATCTCACTGCTTTGATACCAAATAATGTGACTTAACTAATAATACAACAAAAACACTAAATTAAGACAATAACAGTACTAAATATGAGAGGAAAATGCTGAGGTTTTTTATAATAATGAGCTAAATGGACCGAATCAGAGTTACAAGGACACTCTTTGATTCTGGCAAAAACCCTATTTCCTCTATAAAATCAAGATAACTCCAACCACTAGATTTCAAGCTTCACAATACAAGTTCCCTACCACTGGCATTCGAGAGGCCAGTCTCTCCTCACAACTCCATTCTCCTCTCCTCTCCCACTCTCCAAGCAAAAGACTAATAATACCTTCAGCATGGCTTACACACAGCCCATACTACCCAAAAGATTCTAATTATGATAAAAGATCACAAATTAATGTTCCTTACAGCTAGGGACTGACGGATAAGTCCCTGGACCAGTTAAAGTATTTCCACTAGAGTTATTCCTCCCCTTTGACTTCCTCTGATATGTCTTAGGAAAATAATGGGCTCTATCAACATCATAGATAGGTTTCAAGATATCAATTGACAACTTTAGTTTGACCGTCGGATTGAGGATGATAACCATTACTCATCTTTAATTGAGTCCCACTTAAGCGAAACAATTCTTGCCAAAACGCACTAAGAAAGATGATGTCCTTATCCGATGTAATAGACTTGGGAATTCTATGAAGTTTCACCACTTCCTTACAAAAGGTAGCAGCCACTGTTTTGGTAGATATAGGCTTGTGTAAAATGACCGTACTTGCTGAAATGATCAACCACCACAAGAATTGTATCCATGCCATTAGACTTAGGGAGCTTATTAGCTGTAAATCAATAGATATATCCTCGTAAGTATGTTTTAGAATTCCCAATGGCTATAAAAGTCCAACAGGAGAAAGAGGTTGATACTTATTTTGTTGCCATATGGTGCAGTTTAAGATAAAAGCCTCCATGACCCTCTTGTTTCATATTCCTCCGGAAATAGTATTGTTGAAGGCGCTTCAAGGTTTTCAAAAAGCCTCCATGACCCTCTATAGGTGAATTATGTGCTTTTGCCATGAGTTTAAGACTCAAATTAGTGCATGATGGGATTACCATATGATCTTTATAATAGAGTTTACTTGAAGATATGGCAAAATGTGGATTCGTCTGTAAGGATGGTAGAATTGGGGCCGTAAATTCACCATTTTACAATTTTGCAATCTTAAAAGTTAGCCACATAAGGAATGATTAAAGCAAAGAATTGTGTTGAATAGGCGCATTTAGAAAGAAGGATCAACCCCTCGACTGGAACTGTCAGCCTTATCAATAATGGTAAACTCGAAGGATGGTAGTTTCATCAATAAACGCTATTGTTCAAGAGTTGTAATTCTTTGCTCTAACAAATATTTAAAGCTACAGTAATCACTAAATGCCTTTTTCCCTTACTAAATTACATTTTAGTGAGAAACAAAATGCCTTTTAGCTAAATTTGTAACTAAAAAATGACTTGTTAAATTTAGCGAGGGATTCAGTATTCGATTTAGTATTCCTCACTCATCTCTCGCTAAATATGCTTATATTTAAAAATAGTGATGGCTAAATCACCTATCATTTGTGTCAACTTGTGACATGTCGCTAACAATCTTGTATCTCGTCAACCAACATATCACCTATCATCTCGTGCCTCATCACCTTCTACATGTGCGACAACTCATAGTCTACCTCGCATCATGTCACTTGCTCCTTACCATATTACATATTCATTATGTTTATGTCAAGTCCAAGACTTCAACCCTTGATCTCTTACCTTTTAAGCCTTATTCTCTACTTCTTTGCTAATTGAACTAAAAGGTATCTACAGTCATTATATAAAAAATTAAATATATATTATTTAAATACACAAATATATTGAATAATATATTATAAAATAAACATATATATTAAATTTTATTTTGAATTATTAATATGTTAAAAATATTTATATTTTATTTAAATTATTCTTTATATTGTATCTTTAAAAAAGTATTTTATTAATGAAAATGAACTTAAAATAAAGAAAATATTAAATATTATATAATTTTATTATGAATATTTTAGTTAATTTTAAATTTAATTTTTATTGCCAAAAGTCATTTTTTGTAGTAATTTAGCTAGGGATAAATCCTGAACTAATTATCTTATTTTAGAGAGGGATTGGTAGCCTCTTGCTATTTCCCTCGTTAGTTATCTTATTTTAGAGAGAGATGGACAGTCCTTCATTAATTTTTAAGTCAAACTATAAGATGGACAATCTCTCGCTAAATTCCTTTGCTTTTGCATTTTTCTAATAGTAAATGGTCAATATGTACTTCAAACTTGTGACCTATTAAGTAATGCCTCCATTTTTGTAACACAGAATTAGTGCAAGTAATTCCTTGTCATAAATAGACTCATGTCTCTTTGAAAAAGATAAACCTTTGCTATAATAAGCAATTGGATGGCCTTCTTGTTGTAAGACAACCCCAATGCTTGTAGATGAAGCGTCACATTCCACAACAAAAGACTTAGTAAAATTTTAGAGAGAGATGAACAGTCCTTCGTTAATTTTTAAGTCAAACTATGAGATGGACAATCTCTCGCTAAATTCCTTTGCTTTTGTATTTTTCTAATAGCAAATGGTCAATGTGTACTTCAAACTTGTGACCTAAGTAATGCCTCCATTTTTGTAACACAAATTAGTGCAAGTAATTCCTTGTCATAAATAGACTCATGTCTCTTTGAAAAAGATAAACCTTTGCTATAATAAGCAATTGGATGGCCTTCTTGTTGTAAGACAACCCCAATGCTTGTAGATGAAGCGTCACATTCCACAACAAAAGACTTAGTAAAATCTGGAAGATGAAGCACGGGAATAGTAGTTAATACTTGCAGAAGCATTCCATTGAAAAACATCCTTTTTGGTCAAATCTATCAAGGGTTTTGCCAAATATCCACGAAGTTCTATCGATTACATTTTGAGGAATTGGCCAATTTTGTATAGCACTAATTTTTTTCATATCCATTGCTACTGACCCAAGAAAGATACTTTTGTTTGAGCAAATAAGCACTTTTTAGGATTAGCAAAGAACTCATGATGTTTTAAAGTTTGTAAAATGATGCAAGGATGAGCCGTGTGCTCATGGAAGTTGCTACTATACACCAAGATGTTATCAAAAATATGCAGCAAAAGTCCTAATTGGCCAATACACAATATAACTCAAAAATAGAAAATAGATTTGAGGCATATTAATGTTGCCTCAAGTCTCTGCCTACTCCCCTTTGGCCGTACCTAATTTTCCTGGAAATGTTAGAAACACGTAATGAGACTAAGGGTCCAAATAATCACAAGGTAATTTATAATGCATGTAGGTATGTTTATAAACAATTAAGGCATAAAAAATAACTAAACAACAAATAATAATTTACATGTTGTTAATCACAACATCACATATCAACAATCATCTCCCTTGTTATTCCTTTGACTGGATCTATGGATTGTCACAATAAACAAGATTCATTCATGTGACCAGACCTTATCAAGCTCACCAATGTTGAGGTGCAACCTAGCCAAAGGAGCAAAACTCAACACCAATCCATAGTTTCCCTATCTTCTATGACCTAGAGAGTGTTATATGTTCCAAGAGCTAACTCCAATCCTAGCCAAGGAAGGAGAAATACTGCCCTAAGAATGTGTAGGACAACCACTAGGCACCTAGCGAATATCATGATAATCATACACAGAATTATAGCAATAACTACAATCCTCATAAATTTTCAACATGTTTTCACTTATCCACATATGTACTCATCATTAGAACAACTCATTTAACATAAATTAATCTCATATTAATCATAGTATATCTAGAATATATATATATATATATATATATCTATCTATCTATGTAGGATAAAGGGACAAATTTAGTTATGAATTATTTTTTGAGGACCATTAGGTAACTCATACTATAAGGTGTGAAATAAACTTGAACTATTAAAAAAGGAGCATCATCTAGCGTCTCCCGTTTATTTTCAACTATTGTCCGTTTATTTTGCTTTGTAGGGCACATTAACATCCTCCTTAACCCTTTGGCTTCTCTTTCACTCTTTCACTCTCTCTACTCACCATCCATATCTTCTTTTTCTTCCTTCTTCTTCACCTTTAAACAGTCATCAGCGATACCTTCCATATGGCTTTATCTCACTTTGAATCTCAGAGAAATCATAGAACCTCTTGCTAGAAAAGTGGAGGAACTCCTTATACTTCTCTTCAGTGCTATTGGACTTCTTCTTAATCTACACGAGCTACAACACTAGCAGCCTCCTAGGCAAGATCTTTGAGAACACTAGACTTGCCATTACTTTGGCTCCCAATGACGATGACCTAGGGAAGATCCATGGTGGACTGGCTTTTGACCCGAGCAAAGATGTCTTGAAACTTGTTCACTAAGGAGATCATGGAGGAGCCAAGAGGAGCAAATGAGGAAGATGAAGATGTGGTGTTGGTACTAAATCTTGGTGAGATTAGGAAAACCCTTAAGCAAAGAATGTGAATATGGAAGAGAAAGAGAATAGCAGAAAATGAATGTAAGATTCATTGGTGTTATAATTTTCAGATTCCTTTTCCATATGGCTTTATCTCATTGCTTTTCAAAATTTTGATTCTCTATTTTAGCTTTTCTAGTTCTAGAGAGATGCTTCATCAACAATGAGTACTCCAACATTTTTTATGTGAGTTTTGGTTCAATCTCCTCTTGACCCTTCATGTCTTGGTTCTTGTTGTTATTATGTTGTAGTTTTCTCATAATCTCTTGTCCCTTTTGTTGTTGCAAAAACCAGATAAAAAATGACAAAAGGAAGGACCTGATGAGAGATAAAGAGAGGGTCAAGGAGGGAGAGAGAAGAAATAAATGGACATTAGTTGAAAATAAAAGGGGGGTGCTGGGTACTTTGTTTTTAATAATTCAGGATTTATTTTGTATAACCTCACAGTACGGCCAGTAGTTTTTGAAAAATAATTTGTGATACATATCTATATATATATATATATATATTTACTTGCCCAAAAAAAAAATTAAATGTGTGTAGTTACTTCTCGCCAGACAGAAACAACTAAAGTTACCTGAGCAAGCAAGCTCTTTGGATAGAGGGCAGCAATTACCGGAGATAATCTGCAAAATCACATCAACTCCCATAAATATTAAATAAATCTTCCAAAGTCCTTCTACCACATTTAAATCACATATTTATTCCCAAAAATCACATGATTGTCCTCAATTACCCTTCCAAGTGCCTTATTCCTTTAATTTTGAGAAAATTCTCCGTCACACTAGAAAATCAAACCATCAATATCTATACCAATCAAACAATTTCTTCAAAAACAATTAGTCCACAAAATCCTCTAGATTCATGTTTATCCATAATTAGAGATTGTGATTATAAATGAAAAATATCATGTCGTAAAAATATCCCATTTAGCTAGAACTGATCATACTTGAATACGAATTTATAATAGCATATTGCTTTTCTTTTTTTAATTAGCCAAAATCAATAATTTAGATTGGATACCAACTGGTTGTTAACCGAAAAAATAAGTCGAACAAAAAATTATATTGCAGAAGTAATGTGAAATGTCAGGCTGAATCATGTCAATGACATAAATCCCAATTAGAAACGAACCTCCCCCGCGCCGACAGTACTTTTAAAGTATTAAAATGTATGAGCTAAGTTAGTAAGATAGATTCCCCTTGAAGCCTATAAGTTCATAATTTAAATATATAAAGCGTTGTTGATTGTCTCCAAAAGAATTTAAATATTAATATGTAGTCTGAGTAGGTTTTATACAGCATTATTTCATAATTTAGGATTAAAGAACAATTTCATCCTTAAATTATAAGTTCAGAAGTATTTAAAACTCTAAATTAATTTTTAGTACAATATTTTTTTTTTACTTTTTAAAACAGTGTTATATTTCTCCCATCATTAACAAAAGTTAGTTTTGACAGTTAGTTAATTAAAAAATTATTAAAAAAATCTAAAAAATTATATAAAAGAACAATAAAAATTATAAAAATGATCAAAAAATTATAAAAAATGACCCAAAAGATTATATAAAAGGACCAAAAAAATTTCTTGATAATTTTATGTAATTTTTTATTAATTAATAGTCAAAGCTGATAACCATATGGGAAATATTTAATAACCATAGGGATAATTTTTGTAATTTTTGAACATTTAATAACATAAGGGTAATATTGCACAATTTTGAAATATAATGTTAAAGGAAAATATTGCATAAAAATTAAAAAACGAGTTCATGATCTTAAATTCTCTGAACCTATTATTTAGAGGTAAATTTATCATTTAATCCCATAATTTATTTATCTTGTTTTGTTTTAGAGTTCTAGCGCTGTGTGTGAGTACGTACAAGCTTAGTAGTTAGCTAGCTATAGATGGATCATGTAATAGGCTTTATTTAAAAATAATAAGTTAAGATTCTCAAACTAAAAATAATATTACTTCCGACACGCACAAATCTTCGCCCAAGTACCAAACTCTTAATTATATAGTATACGGCTACCAACATGGCTATTATATTAATTATTAATGCAACATGCAAAACAGATAACCTTACATGTATAAGTAAAGCTCACCTAGACAATTATTGACTTCTTTTAACTAATAATTTGTTATTGATTTATAATATTTCACAATTTTATATAAGAAATTATTTAAAAAAAAAGAAATCACCGAATTCTACTCATTTTGAAAATGTCAGCACACCAAACTGATAAATTTCTTTCTCCAACTTGTTCAGTAGTGAGACACACACACACACACACACACACACACACAAAGCCATGGAGCAGAGGCAAAATAATTTAATTTAAAAATTAATAAATTTATTTAAAAATAATAATTATATTGGGAATAAAATTGTAATAATATACATAAATTTTATCATGATCATTTTTCAGAAAATTATATTGCGCAATTTTTTATATAAATATGTTTATTATATCATATTTCCATCATAAAAATATTACACATCTAATTCAAATATTTTTTTATTTAGTTAAAAAATGTAAAATATTAAAAATAGAGGATGCAAAGTTATAAAATTTATATACACTACTAGTAATAGTAATTTTACAAGTAATTTTTCTTAAAGTGAGCGGTGTATGTTATCCACATGTTGACTCTCTCTCTTTCTGTCAATATATTGCAGTTTTATATTTACTATTCAACAGCATGTTTTTGCAAAAACGGAAATCACAATTACAACAATTACTAATAAATAAATGTAAATGTAACATTCATCGCAGAGATCGGTAGGAGGCGGATTCTTAAAGCAGCAGCTGGAACATGGGATCCACGATGGACACTGCCCGGTGCACGGTGGTCGGAGACACAAAGAAGAAGTACACCCACCATCGCACTTGTAGCTCCGGCACCTGAAACAAGGCTTGCAACTTCCATGGCACTTGAAGCTCTCACACCTAAAACATGGCTTACAGCTTCCAAGGCACTTAGGGCTCCCACACCTTGTGCATGGCTTACAGTTTCCATGGCGCTTCAAGTTTTCACAGTTTGAGCAAGATTTGCAGGTTCCATGACAGTTCAGGTTAGGGTTAGGGAGTATCTGCGGGCAGGGCTGGCAGTCGCCGCCGTGACAATTTGAGCTGTGGCGGCTTGAGCAGGGATTCAAAGGTACAATAGAAATGGAACACGTTTTGAGTTTGTCTTTGTCTTTTTCTTCCTTCTTCTTCTTCTCCTCGGGAGCCTTAGGTTTCACTTCTTCCACCGTGAGAACAGTGACAGAACTGAACTTCTTCCTCAGAAGCTTTCCCAGACAGACTGTGTCTACGTCTTCCCCGGTCACCACCAACTGATCTTTATCGTTCATGGACACCGAACTCACACCTTCAAATACACCATTAAATAAAAATGTTTTGATGATCAGTTATATTCGAACAAATTAAAGCCTTACAACTCAAAAAGTGTTTTGAAACATACATCTACGAATTACACATTAAGAAAGTATTCACATTTAAGTAGGAGGAAGATTTGGAGTCCAGGAAAAAAAAAAAAAAAGGCAGGAGGAAGATTGGAATCTATATCTTTGTAGAGTGTGATGGGTTATATTCTTACCAATTAACCTTTGATGATAAGACAATCATACATAAGATTAAATAACAAAAGATTAAATAACAAATTCACTGTTAAACTATACATCTATAAGTTTTTTAAGACTTTAAATTCATTTTTAGTGTTACTTGTTAATTTTTTAAAATCATATAATTTAACCTTTATCGTTAACAAAAATTAACTTTGACTTTGATAAGAAAATAACTTTAAAAATTATAGAAAATGACAAAAAAATTATAGACATTAACCCAAAAAATTATAAAAAATTAAAGGACTAGGAAAATTTTATTAGTCCTTTTTTATAATTTTGAGATCTTTTTTATATTATTTCTTAATCAATCAATGATCAAAGTTAATTTTTGTTAACGATAAAAATCAGATTACAGTATTTTCAAAAAATAAAAAAGAATATTAAAAGGGTCCAATTGCACCAACAATAAATTTAGAGTTTCAAATTCTCTTGGACATATAATTCAGAGACTAATTTATTTTTTTTTACCTATCAAATGTATATTTACTCTGTACATGTATATTGTTGTATTGAAACATATATGTAGACTTACCTTTAACGACAGAAACTATCTTGAAAGCCTTGTTTCTGCAAGTTTCACGCTCCATTTGGACCTTTAAAGTTACTTTTTGCTGCACATATATATCCATTTGGCATGTTAAAACTTAGTAGTTTCTCTTCATAAAATGAAATCTTGCGTAATTAAAGAACGTCTCAAGAAACTGATTTCAGCAGATATAACATTAATTATAATTAAAGAGATCTCACCTTCATCTTTGGTTTGATCACTTAATTGGAAAAACTAACAGCGACTTGTACACAGTTTGTTGTGAGAAACTGAATAATCCCAAGCCTTTCTTTGTTCCGTTCTTATGCAGAGGCGTCCCCCCCCATCTATACCTATCTATCTCTCTCTATATATATATCTCTCTCTCTCTTCGCCACTACACTTGCATTCATAGTTCTTGTTTGTTCTTGCATCACACCCCAAACAACTCATATAACATGGCAATAACATAGCTGGCTAGGGACTATAAAAATTGGACATATATATTGAGCCAATTTGATTATTTTTTATTTTGGTCAAGAAAAATGTGATTATTTTTTTATACTTTTCTATTGGTGACAATTCTTTTTAAGGCACAATTGAATATTAAATGTAAGTATCTTCTTGGCAAAAATTCAAACCTTAACCTAACCATAAGTTTGATTATAGTTAATATATGTTCTACAAAAAAAGATTCTTGGAGGCCAGATATTACACGGAATACTACTACATGCTGGTTTCAAATGATAAGAGACTTGTATCAGCTTAATCATAAGTTTCAAATTTAAGCTTGACCGTAAAATTGCAGTCAAAGATTTGATTCCCAATTAGATTTTGATCTTAGTTTTTCTGTACCTGTACCCATATTATATATATATATACACACACACATAAAGAATCCAGGTCCAGTGCATAGAGTACATGATGCGCATAAAATATTTTGTCTTCTTTTTTAAAAAAAAAAAATAGCGCACCAACATCCTTGAACCGACACTTATATATATATATATATATATATATATGTATGTATGTATATATATATGTATATATCTGTGTGTGTGTGTGTGTGTTTTTTTTTTTTATACATGAGCTAACTGATTACATAGATAAATATCAAATGATAGATAAATCTAAAATCATGAATAATTATCAATTAGTCAATCATCAATTACACCCCATCCTAAATTATAAAATAATTTGAGACAAAATTACTCAAACTAATAAAATATAATAATGATATTTTACAAACTTATTTTTTCAAAACAAAACTATAAATTTTCAAAAATGCTGCTACACACTAAATAATTACTCCCTGCAGTTCCTAATATAAGGCATTAGTAGCTAATTCATGATTTTCAAAAAATATTAGTTGAAATCTTAATTTCTTAAAAAAATTATATATTTTTAATTTTATCCTCATTAAATATCCTATATAAATACTTTAATAATAATAATAATTAAAATTTTAATGCATCATTTTCTCAAAAAAATAATAATAAATGAAATAAAGGTGTAGTTAAAAAAATTATAAAATTTATTCAATGCCACATTGTGATTCAGAGAGAGTAAGTTACAATATCATTTCAATTCTCTCTTTACTTGAAGGATAATATTGAAAAAGTATTATTAATAAAATTTTATTTTTCTTAAATTGTCTTATATTTAAAACAAAGAAATTTATTTAAAATTATTTTATAATTGGGGATGAAGGGAGTATTACACAAATCTTGTATATGCATTTTGATTGGTTGATTTTTTTTTTGTCACATATATTTTGATTTTATATTTTAAAATTATATTATGCAAATCTCGTTGAAATTTTTTGTCAAATATATTTTTATTTTATATTTTAAAAGTGCTGTAAAATGAATGTGATTGCGTATTGCCTTTGGAAAGGCGGGTATACATGCAGGGAAATGTGATAATCTGTCTCAAGTCCGAAGGGAAATGTGATAATCTGTCTCAAGTCCGAAGGGACTTATCAGCCAATGAGTTTTAAAGTAAAATGACAATTTTAATTGGGCCTGTTTGGATATTTTTTAGAATTAATTTTAAGATTTAAATTAAAACCATGATGTTGAAAATATTTATCCAAAACCCCTCATTTTTACAAAATTTCATTTTGGATAAGCTGACTGATGGTGGATGAAAATCTGAGACTCTCGTTTCTACCCCTCACGCCAAGCGTCTTCTCCAAACTACAAAGTCCCCTTTGTGTCAGCAGCGGTGCCCCCCAAAATCTGATTGTTGCTATTCTTCCATCAAAAAGATGATTTGACAATTGGAGGGTGGGGTATGGGAAATTCATTCCAGGAGCTAATTCGAATACGGCCTTTTCAATTTTTTTTTTAAATTTCAGCTATGTATTTCTTTTTGATATAAAAATAATCAACGGCCATTGAGATCCTTAGAGCATAATTTTTTTTTTGAATAAAAATGCCACAAAAACACTGTGCAGATATGTTATATCACGTCAGTATATAAAAATTCCTACATCTCAAGGAAGGAGCATCAAAGATTTGAATATTAAAATTTTTGATAGGAGCTTAATAAGCCAATCAGTTTGAGCATTTGTTTGCCTTCCCAAAGACATAATCAAAAGTGACTATCCAGTCTCTCATAATGAGGTCTTTAATTTTGTTGATAGTAGTAATTAACGGATGATTAATAGAGAACTCATTGCGTATTAACGTAAAAGCTTCTATGAAGTCAAAGTAGACATAAACTTTGTCTATCTTCTTCTCTCAACAAATGTTTAGTCCTTCCAATGCTATGGTGCCATCATGTTTCATGAATATCATAATGGATATATTTAATACTCCCTCCAATTTTTTTTTAAATTATTTCTATCAACTTCATCAATACTAATATAATAAAAGTACAAAAAATAAAAGTAAGTGAAAATTTAAATATAACCTTCAAGTAAAAGGCAGAAAGCAAATAAACAACATAATTTTTTTTATCTTTTTCTCTCTTATTTTTAAGGGTAATTTAGAGATTTCAATTTGAAACAAAATAATTCTATCAACTAGTGACTTATAAAGTGGATCAAATTATGCTTTTAGAATGTGACTAAGATATAAGACTGGAGAAGTATACATGTAATTAAATTTATCTCAAGTTAATATATTGTTTTATTTTTTATATAGATTAATTCTATTAATATTACATTATAAAAATGAATGTTCTGTATTGTAATTTGCACATTTAAAATTGATTCCAAAAAAATATTCAAATATCTTCAATTTATCAAAATTAATTTTAAAAAAATATTATCTAAACATCCTCACATTCAATTTTTTTTTTTCAATTGAAATCTAAACACACTCGTCATTGGTGATAGAAAATTGTGATTTTTTAAATAGTTTTAGTTATTGGTGGAACTACACTTGCTAATATTTATATCAAACTTGTGAATAATAGTGATAGAAAGTTGTGATTTTCTGAACCATTTTAATTATTATATTGGTAGAACTACATTCGTGAATACTTATACCAATTTTATGATTGTTGTTTTCTTTTATTTTCTATAAAGGTAAAAATATTATTTCACTTTAAAACTTATTGACAAATAAGTCTCTTGGGACAAAGGAATTATTACATTTTATGGGATTAAATTGTTATTTTTTTTTAGAGAGATTTATCTATTATTTCCTCTTTAAATATCAATTTTTAAGTGTTTGTTCTGCTGAGACTTTCCTAACAGCCTTTCTTCCAAGTAAGCACCAATGCATGATCAGAGCTTTTCAAATCCCATCTAGAAGGGAAAATATCGCTGAGTGATTCTCAAAGTTTATGGAAGAATATTAATTCTCTATTTTAACTGGTAACTAACTCAATCTACAGATATATATATATATATATATGCACATATACTTTCAGCACACGATATCAAAGCAGAGGCTATAGTTTCTCATTTCAAAGGATTAAATATATTTTCAACTTCTTATAAATATCCAATTAATTTTTTTTCAGAAAGACTTGATCATAAAATTAAATCTTGTTATTTTTAGTTATTTGATATGTGATTTCACAATGTTGGCATTGTTTTCCCCCCAAATTTCATGTACTCTTGCGGGTGTTAGTGCTTTATACAAACAACATGGATTTGTTTCTTTGCCAATGTGCCTGTTCGAATTTCATCCATAGTCAATTGTAAAGGTTAAAATTATGTTTTATAAAAATATATTCAAATATTCTTGTTACATGTAAAAATTAATTATGAATATAAAGTTATATTTTCCTAAAATTATTCAAACACCTATTATATATATCAAAATTAAGTATGAATTTAAAATTATAATTTTTTTAAAAAATATCTAAACACCTTTATGTTAAAATTAATTATGAACCCTTCTTTGGAATAAAACAAGAATATGAGAATTGATTTCTTTTCTTTTCTTTTCTTTTTCCCGGCTGGAAATCATCCTTCACTCTTTCTTCTCTACCGTGAATCATCCTTGGAGTCATAAAAAGCATCGTGGAGCCATTTTATTCACAGGTCTTGGGGTCTTTTTTTTTTTTTTTTAATTCTTGCATGGACTAATGCTTCATGTCATTCATTTTTTATCTAATAAAAATATGTCATATTATATTAATTTAATCAAAAATAAAATTTAATATTATATTATTTTTAATGACTTTATTTTTTGAAGAAACATTACTATAAAATCATTCATATATGATGTCTATTATTGGATGATTATATATGCAACCATCTAATAAGTAAAAGCGAAGAAATATGTTAGATGGTTTAAAAAAGCACAAGACTTATATTTTCTTTTTTGCCAACTTGTATATCCTGAATTTTATATGCTTAATATACTTTTACCCAATTAAATTAAGATATATGAATCTTAATATATTAATAATATGAATTTGTTATGAATTAAATAATATATAAAAGATACATATATTTTGATTTAATTAAAAATAAATACTTTAAGTATATAAAGACAAGTATATAAGTTTTTCCTTAAAAAAAATAACCACCCAATATACATATATTGGATAGTTATGTATTTCAAAATTTTAATATTAAATACTTCCTCCATTCAAAATATAAGGTATTTTTTAAGCAGTTTGATATTAAAAAATATAAGACATTTGAATAATAGAATTAGTTTGAAAATAGGTAACTATTTTATTGAGGGTTAAGATTTGGTTAAAAATATCTTACATTTGAAGGAATATATATTGGATAGTTAAGTGATACAATCATCCAATATATTATGGTTGTATGTAATTTCGTGTCTTCTATTCACTTTATCATCATCAATATGAAAATCAATTTACATTTAATTACGACCATTTGACATGCTATGGTTTTATCAAACAAAGTATGAATGTCGAATGAAGTGGTCAAGAATTTTTGAATCTCTTTTTTTTTCCCCCTTTCTAGTTAACAAGTCGTGTTATGTATCATGGCCGAAAAGGCTTTAGATAA